AATATATTATTAATTGGGTTGGACACGAGATTTAAAGAATATTAATATTATATTGATAGTTAGTAAAAAATATGGATAAAAGACCTTTTTGTCCTTGTGAGTGTATTAGTGTAAAAAGTAGAGACAATTATGTAATAAAAATGAAAAAGTAGAGATAGTTTTATGGTGATATGGTTATTTATTGAAATAAAACTGTTGTTTTAAGATGGACAAAAATGGTAAATACTATTGTATTATGACGGAGTGAGTATTAAGTATCATATTTTAATTTTGTTTTAAAGTTAAATAGAAAAAAATTAAAATAAATATAAATCGACTAAATTCACTCGATGTTATTATTCTACATTTTTATTTCTAATTAATAGTTAAAATATACTAGTATTTTTCTGCTCGGAATAATTGTCATTATTTTTTTATTTTTTTTGTTATACGTTAAATTTATGTATAATTTATTTATAGAAAATAATTTTACTTATAGTTTTATTATTCATACTTTAATAATTAATAACAAAATTGTCATTATTATTTTTAAATTGCACAATTATGTTTTATTCATTTTTTAGTAAATTCATCACACTACTCTACTTCTCTTTTTATATATAAGATTTTTATAGTACCCATCCGTCCGACTCTTAGTGTTACATTTATATTTTGCGTCATTGTATTTAACATTAAAAATATTTTTATATTTGTATGATTTTTTTGTACAAATGTCCTATTAGTATTATAGGATACTAATGAAAGTATGTTTGTAATTTTTTCTTAATTTGTATTACGTTTTGATGTAATAATTAATATTCAAATATTAACACCCAAAAAATAAATAGAAACCTTAGAGCCGGACGAAAGTAGTATTATTTTTTAAAATTTCTACATCCAATCAAACAGGATAAAGATCATCCTATGGAGAATCATAGATATTGCATTTAAATAGTAGAAAAATTGGAGAGGAAAAAGCTTAAATGCAAATTATTTTCAAACAATTATTAAATATAAATTTTCTCAAATCACTTAAAATATTTTTATTTTTCTATTTTAGCATGCCCATACAAATCTTTTTTTTTCTTTATTTTTATTAAAGTTATATTTCATATAAATATAAAAATACTCATATATTATTGTTACATCGTTACTTTTAAACAAAAAAAATAAGAGTAAAATTATTTTCACATACATTATCTGTATTATACTTAATAAAATATTAATGCCAAAAGTAAAATAAAATATTATTAGTGAACAGATGATGTATTTCATAAAAACATATGAGCTATGCCTATGTTTAATAGAAAATAAATTAAATTAAAAAATTTATTTATGATCCAATTGTGATTGCATAAGATCATTTTTAAACGATTTTATGCAATATTTTTTAAAAAATAAATAATATATTCTCTCCGTCCATTTTCAATGTATCTATTTCGTCATTTTAGTTTGTTAATTTTTAATGTATCTAATGTTTTTAGTAGTTGTACTTCTTAATTTAATTTTTTAAAAATACTCTTACATTTAATATAATATTACAAAAAATATTATAAAAAAATAAAAAGATTTAAGGATAATTTTTTTTCTCATTCTATTGTATTATTATTTATAAAATACCAATATTCTAAAATTTATGTATATAAAAAAAAATTGTTACATTAACAGAGAAATATATTTTTGTATGGTAAAATACTTTTTTAATATATGCTTGACCTATTTATCATTATAGTCCGTTATTGGAGTAAAAATCCACTTGGGTTGTGTTTGTTTGGGGATTTGGATTTTGAGTTGGATTTGAATAGTAAAAATTTTGAATTTGAATAGTAGTATGATGCGAAATAAATATGAGTTGATGTGATGTTTTGAACGTAAAATTGATTTTTAGTATAATATAAAAAATAAAAAATAAGTATTTAATTTGATATTTTTTTGAGAAAAAATTGAATGAATAGTGTATTTGGGGGAAAAATCCCCCGAATAAACACACCAGGTGTTGACAAATCACTAATGTCAGGGCCACATCAGCGTCAACGAACCTATTCAGCAACATATATAGTTAAAATAATTTTAGGTTTGTAGAATTTATTATTGTAAAATATATTTTTCTCTATTCTATTTACATATGTTTTAATTTAATTCTTATATTATTAAATGACGATTTTGATTCTTTTTATTTTTTATTTATGTTAATTTTAATCCCTTCATTTTAAAATGACAATTTCGATTCCTTGCCTATTAATATAACTCAAATTTAGTCTATAATAATAATTATTTTTTAAAAAACTAATAGCTATATTTATTATATTCAATGCCATCTAAATATACTATATTTAAAAAATTGGTTCATAAACATTTACTCCCTCCGTCCCATATAACATGGGTGTATTACTGTAGACACAGGAATTTAGGTAAAATATAATTAGTAAGTAATTAAGAAGTGTATTAGTAAAAATAATTTTTATTTAGTAAAAATAATTATAGATTAAGATTAAGATAAGTAAATAGTTTAATTAAAATTAAGAAAATTATAAAATTTAAAATTTAAAATGCGATTAAAGTGCATAATTATATTTCCAAAAATAGAAAGAACAAGTTATGTGGAACAGACGAAAATAGAAAATAGGGACAAATTATGTGGGACGGAGGGAGTATGTTCTTGTATAATACATATTATCAAAAGATGTATATGCCTCTATCAAATAAGTGAAAAAAATATATATATATGCCATTATATTTAATATAATGTTATTATTTATTTATTTTTTTTAATTCGTTTTCTTACGCCAATAATTTAATTAATGTAAATAATTTGCAACTATGCTATTTAGACGAACGATATTATATAAATTTGGTATTTAAGTTTGTTTTAAGTAACTTGTTTAGAGAAAAATATATGCGTTTAGATATTTTAAAAAATAATATAAATTAATTTAAAAAATAAGAGTTAATTATCCTAAAATCCCTAATTCCTAAATCATTTTTTTATCGGTCCATATTCATATAATTTTTCCATTTAACTCCCTATTTATTCAACATCACTCCATGTTTGTAATTATTATACATTTTTACCCATTTTACCATCTATATAACATTTTAATCATATTTTTATCCACCAAATATAATCCAAAATCCTTAAGTAAATAATATGTAATTATATTATTTATTTATCTATGGAACAAATCTATTTATTTTATATAAATAAATTTTTGGATATAGAATCTATTTACTTGTGGCTCAATAATTTTTGCAGGATTTATTACAATACATTAGTTTTTATAATAGAAAAATATTTTTTCAAATAAAAATTCATTATTTTTTAACTTATTTATTATATTACTCATACTTATATTTAATTGAAATCAATATTTTTTTTTATAAATATTTTATATAATTATAATGTAGTTACGAGTACTTTTGTGTTATATATTTTATTATTATTATTATTATTAGTTCTTATCAATTATTATTTTTGTTGTTGTAATATTTTATTTTATATTTAAATTAATAAAAAGTAGAAATAAATTATAAAACTTACAGTGTAGTTAAAAAAAAAAGAAAAATGAAAAAAAAAATAAATGAGCATACTATAGGGCTTTTAATGAATAGAGAGTGAAAAATGATAAATTTGTAAAAATAGAGAGTAAAAAATATAAAATTAATGTATATGAAGTAAATAAGAATATGAATATAGAATTAGAGAAATATGTGAAAGCTGTCCTTTAAATAATGAATTTGAATGAAAGTTTCAATAATTGTCACATACTAGGTGGATTATAAATAAATTCAATCTTTTTGGGCACAAATTTTTTAATGTAATTTGTATTTGCTTTTTTACTTTTTACTTTAATAGTAAAAAATAAAAAAAAAATATAGTACTATAATATTTAATTAAAAATAAAAGTTATCATATTTGTAAATGACAGACAAAGAAAATTGATACTCTTTACATTCCATTAGAAGTATTAACATTACTGTATCTACGAGAATATAAGTAAATTTTTAATAGTAAATAATTAAGAATCGTACTAGTAAAAATAATTATAAATTAAAATTAAAATGATTAAATAGTTTAATTAAAATTTTAAAAATTATAGATTATGAATTTTAAAATTGATATATTAATGATAAAGAGAGACTAAAAATATATTTTATTAGAATTTATTACTTCATTTATCTCAATTCGTTTGTTTCACTTCAAAGTATTTATATAATATTTTAGAAAAAATAATCACATTCTAATGCTAATTTGTTTTTAACTTCTACTTAAATTACAAACATCCTATTATTTTATACATAAATCAAATGATAAAATGTTAACAACGCTTAGACATTTCCACTGCCAACTGATAAAACAGTAGTCACTTTGTCCTAATACAATAGTCTTGTTTACCATTTTTGTCCGTCCCAAAACAATAGTCTTATTTCCATAAATAATTATATCACCGTAAAACTATCTCTACTTTTTCATTTTTATTACACAATTGCCACTACTTTTTATACTAATACACTCGGGCAAAAAAATCTTTTATCTATTCCTTAGATCTGTATCTAATCCAATTAAGACTATATTTATGGTATGGAGTATTACTCTTTAATTTATTACTACAAATTTGCAAAAGATCTCTTCGATTTGAGTCGAGAGTATTATATTTTAATATTAATATATTTTAAAAATAAATTTAATAATATTTTTATACGGCCCTTCAACTTGAAAAAATTTGAAATGATCCTAAAATTTGACTATGAACCAAAACCAATCGCACACCTTTATAAATATCTATAAAATATTTTCGAACAGCTAACCCAATAAAGACACAAATTTGAATTCAACCACAAAACCAAATCCAAAAAAGTTCCAAACCCACAAACCTTTAATATAAATAAAAATAAAAATAAAAAATTGCAATTTTTTTATTTACTTATAACAATAATAATAATACTAATAAATATTAAAAAATTCTTTTGATGTCTCAAATTCGCCCTGAAACCTTAATAAAAGCCCCACCACACCACTACCACTGTTGTCAACATTCTTCTCGCTCTACCTTTTTCTCTCTCCTTGGGACCCTCTCCTCTTCTCCAGTTCTCCTCCTTCCTGCCTCCGCCATTATTGTACCAGCCAACCATTCCGCAACTCCTCTTTTTGTGCAGAGATGGCCGGCGCTACTGAAGGCGGCGACGCTGGCTTCTGGCTGCCCCCTGAGTTCCTCACAGACGACGATTTCCTCATCGACAAACAGATTTTTAACAGAATCAACTCCGACACTGACTTCGTCTTCCCCACTGAGTTCCCCTACGAGGTAGTGTATTTTTTTTACTTCTTAATTTTGTGCTCTATTTTTTCTTCTGTTTAACTTAATTTAATTTTTTTGCAGAAGCTTGTGGCGGTGCCGGCGGCGCCTCCGCGAGCGGCGCCGTATTTCGGAACGTGCGCCGGTAACGGAAGACCTAACGCCGGCCTCTCGTCTCCGTTAACCGCTCGATACGACGCCGTTGGAGATCTAATCTACCGTAACCGCCCCGCCGTCCGCGAGCGAAATGACCGTTTTGCCCTTCCGCGTTACCATATGCAGGGCTTAGTACATGCAAGTATTCCATTCTCAAAACACTTTGTATCCTGTTTACGCTTCCGAGTTGTACCTTGTGCTTAATAGTTTGTTCGTCGGCAGAATGAGGGCGGCGGAGCGCCGTGGAGTTACAGCCGCCCGAGCAGAGGAATGGTACTTCAGCCCGGGCGGGAGAGAGCGGTTCTATGCGGCGGCGGTGCGGCGGAGGCGAAGAAGGCGTGCGCCGGGACGGGAGTGTTCTTGCCGCGAAGATATAGCCGCGACGGCGAGAAACCTCATTGGGCAGATGCTCGCCGGAAAACAGGTAATTTACAGCTCAGTGCAATTTTTTCCCAAATTTTATTATTATTATTATTATTATTTTTTTAAATTAAAAAATAAAAATGGTTTTTGGATTAATTATTTGAATTATTATTGTGGTTTTTGGATCTGGTTTTGGTTGTGGTGAATTTGGGGCAGTGTTTGCCAAATAAGTGATGGCATTTATTATTACCTTATTTGGGGGTTGTGTCGAAACGCGGGAAGGACTGCTAATCGAAGGTTTTAGAAATTTTGGGCCATTTCTTGTCTTTATTATCGGTCCCTATACTTATTTTATTTGCAATACTGTCGCATCTGACTCTGAGTCCATCCTTACTTTTTACCTCATACGCTGTGGTGTGGACTACCTACACCGGCTTCATCTACACCGTCCATCCATGGAAAAATGTCTCTACGCTTTACCATTTCATTTCATTTTATTTTTATTTTTATTTTGAAATATAGTTATAAGATATGTAGATGTGTTCAATAATTTGTTTAAACTTTTTGGGTGTTATTTTACCTCAAATTTTCCAAATGTTACAATTTGGACGTTAGAGTTTTTGTTAAAATATATATATTTTTTTATTTCATAAAACATCCAATCAAATATAATTTAAATATAAAACTCAAATCAAAATTTTCTTTAACTAAACCTAAAGAAAGAGAGATCCAATTATGAGTTTTGGATTTTTTTAAAAAAATTGAAAATAGTAAAAAATGTGAGATTTTGTAAAAACAAATAAATATTTGATAGGATAATTTTGATTTTTTTTTTATTCTTTATCAATAGTGTCATCCGTTTTAAAAGTTGTGTAACTAGCTAGAATCATAATTTTAAATAAAAATATTAATAGTAATATTTTATTAATAACAATTTTTTCCAACAAATATTGTATTCCCTTTGTCCCAAATACCGTGCAATATTTGTGTTTGGCACGAGAATTTAGGTAGGGAGTATTAAGTATAGTAATTTGAGATAATTTTTATATTAAGTGACGTGATTGGGTAGAAAAATAATTATTTGTTTTTTTATTTGAGTGATGTGATGGGATAAAGTGAAGTGTATATTAATATATGTATATAAATATTATTCATTAGTTTTAAATTTGAAAATGTTGCAGTGAGTTTTAGACAAACAAAAAAGAAAATATTGGGTGTTTGGGACGGAGGGAGTATTAAATATTTGGTTTTTCATTAATTTAGAAATCTTTAAAAACATAAAAATATTTTTTAAAGATTTTTGTTCAAATGGAATTTATAGAATTTATATGATATGTTTACTCATTTTTTTTTCTTGAATGATTTTAGCACGTGTAGTATTTATGAAAATCCTGGTAAGACCTGGAAGTGTCGGGGTTTAAACCTATGATCTTGCTGTAACGAGTCCATCCCCACACTACCAGACCATTCTTTACGGGGCTTAAATTTGAACCTTTTGAAATAGTAAATAGTTGTCAAAGGTGTTCATGTGTTGGGGTTTGAATTTTGCGTTTGAGGGAAAAATTATACTTTCTCTGTCCCAGAACTATACTCGCAGTTGTATTGGACATGGGATCTAAAGAATATTGATATTATATTGGTAGTTGCTAAAAAATATGAGTAAAAGATTTTTTTTGCCTTTGTGAATATACGAGTGTAAAAAGTAGTGGTAATTGTGTAATAATAATAAAACAATATAGGCACTTTTACGGTGATATGGTTATTTATAAAAATAAGACTATTATATTGGAACGGACGAAAATGGTAAACTAAGACTATTGTATTGGGACGGAGGGAGCATTGACTAGTAGAAATTTTATAAAATATTTCAAAATAACACATCCTTAATGTATTTGTCCGCAGGTTGTTCCCCTGTTGTGTTCCCGTCTCCGAGCAGTGCTGGCAGCACCGATGTTTTTTCGTGGCCACAGCCGAGCCACTGCATTTTCGCTCAAGATTACGGTATCAATACCATACCATCCATCGATCCATCCCCTAACTTGAGAATGCTGTCTGTAATAAAATGCAATGAGCTTACATTCCGCGGATTATGCAGATAATTGGATGGCAATGCGCAAACACGCCGCATTGCTTCAGCAACAGCGGCAGGCGGCAATCGCAAGTTCAGCAGCGGTGGCGCGTGTCCCGCACGAATGGACTTATTAGGAAGGAGGGAGGCTCAGAATAAATTTATATATATATGGATAAATGACTATAATGTTAGAAAATGTTGTTATTACAGGCAGCAGCAGCAGCAGCGTAAAGGTGAAAAGGATTTATTACTTTGGTTTGGTTCTAGTGTGCAGATGTAGGAAAAATATAAATATATTGTATTGATAATATAAAAAATAATATTTTATGTTGAAATAGTTAATGTTTTATGAATGAATAATATTTTTCTTCAGTTCCATAAGTAAATATCTGATTTAGAAATATTAGTATTATATTGAGTTATAGTAAGAACAGAGTAGAAATGACTAAAATAATTTTATTAGTATTTGTGATATATGGTACAGATAAACGAGGTCAGGGAAATGAAAATGGCTTCATTTTTTTTGTTTGTTTGAGTCAAAAATAGAACTTAAGAAATAAATTATTTTTATTTTTCTATTTTTATTTCTCTCTCAAATACGGGAAAATAGGGAAAAATGATGTTGTAGTATATTTTTTTTAATTTTTTTTTTTATCTTTTTTGTATTATTTAATTTTTATATATATTATTTTAAGTTTATAAAAATCAAATTTGATTTATTGTTAAAGTATTTAATTTTTACGATCTTTTTAAGAAATTGTATTAAATATAATCTTAAAAAATATCGTATATAATTTATAATATTTTTTTTAAAAAAGTCACCAAAAATATTTTTTATAAATTCTCATTTGTTAAAATTTTTTTTATTCGGTTAATCATTTATTCTTGTTTGATTTATTCATATAGTTGTTTTTTTTTTTTTTTTTTTTTTTATTTCTCAACTGAATTCTCTGTTTGATCAAACAAGTTGATTCTTATTCAATTCTTTTTCTCTCCAGTTTTATTCTCTGCTCTTATTTCTCAGCAATTCTATTTGTACCAAACGCTCACTAAGGGTATTTGTAATGTTAAGTAGACAGTACCGTTACTAAAAAAAAATGAATATTTTGTTATGGGACAGATTAAAATGGAAAGTGAATACTTTATTATGAGACGGAGAAAATATATATATTATAATAACGTGTGTGTATATTTATATTTTTTTTAATAATATTTATAAAAAATTGTTCCATTGAAATGCAAATTGAATAACAATAGACTATTACTTATTTAAAGTTTCTTAATAATGTATTTATTCATCCGTCTCTAAATGTTATATTTAATTTTTGAGTGTCTTATACAACATAGATTAAGTGCTGAATTAAAAAAATTTATCGCTTGTGTCGATGCTTAAAAACTTATTGTGTAAAATTATATTACTTAATTATTTTATTCTATAAGTTTTGAGTAATTGAATTTAATGATATCAGCACCTGTAATCATCATGGGATCTACACTATCAAAATATAGTACAAATATTTTTTTTTAAAAAAGATATTTTTAGTAATATTTTATAATATTAATATAATGGAGTAATATTTATATAAAAAAATTATATAAATATAAAAATATTTTTAATATTATTTACAATGATTCAAAAAATAAATATAACATTTGAAAACGGACTTAGAAAGTACTTTCTCCGTTCCATATCTATTTATTCATCTATTTTTTCACGGAGTTTTAGAAATATTAATATTCACGTAATAAAATAAATAATTGATCAAAGTTTTATTCATTTATTTTTTTAAAAAATCAAATACTAAAATAGTGTGTTTTACTACAGAATTTTACTATTCAAAATTTTTTTTCCTCCAAAAATATCACATCAAATAATTATTATTATTTTTTTTTTATATTATACTACAAATTTATTTTACATTCAAAATATCGGATCAACCTCTATTTATATCAATATAAAACAACTATTCAAATTCAACATTTTACTATTAAAAACTCCAAACCCAAAAACTAAAACCACAAACAAACACACCCTAAATGATTTGAAGGGATATATATATAGGGTAAAATTGTTTATTACTCCCCCGTGATTTCGAAATTCAGTGTAAAATATCTCTATACTTTAAAAAGTGCATAACATTCTATTATATTTTAAAAAACGTTGCATAAATCCACCACCATGAAAACTCCCTTGTATGATGAGAAGATGATTTCATATCTATATGTTTTGTATGACGGAGGATTTCATTCAATACTTTTGAAAGTATAAGGGTGTGCCATGCAATTTTTTAAAGTAAGTGGGGATTTACGCTGAATTTTAAAACTACAGCGGGGTTTCATGCAATATTATTTAAAGTATAAGGGAACGCCATGTAATTTTTAAAGTAAATAGGGGATTTACGTTGAGTTTCGAAACCATAAAAGAGTTACAGACAATTTTGCCTATTTTTAGGGAAAAAATAATTAATTTTGATCCTAATATAAAAAACTAATCAATTTTAGTCTAAATATAAACAATTTTAATCAATTTTGGTTCTACGGTTAAAAACCTAACGAAAATTAATGACGTAGACATAACGACGTTGATGTGGCAACTTACATGAAAAAAATACAACCATGTTGTCACACTGCTATATTTAATTCTACATGACCGGGTACCTTTTTTTTTTGTCTAAAATATTATTTTTTTTGTATATTTTTTTTTAAAAAATATTTTGAATTTAAAATAGTTAGATATAGTTAAAATAGAAGAAAATCAATAGTAATCTCAATATTATTAAAATGCACTACTTTCGTCCCAATACAATAATGTTGTTTATCATTTTTATCTGTCCCAAAACAATAGTCTCATTTTCATAAATACTAATACCAACATAAAATTATCCGTATTTTTTTAATTATTATTACACAAATGTCATTACTTTTTATACTAATATACTCACAATGACAAAAGAGTCTTTTATTCATATTTTTTTATCAACTATCCATATAATATCAATATTCAATAAATCATGTGCTCAACCCAAATAAAACCATAGTTTTGCGGCGGAGGGAATATCAATTTTAGTTTCAATATATATATATATGTATATATAAAAGTTACCACGTATATTATTTAGGAAAATTTTGCCTATAATTTTATTTTTTACCAAAATTTCCATTCTTACGAACATCCAAATAAACAACTATTTTTGAAATGTAAAATTAGATTTTAGAGTAAAAATCATTTTTGGTCTCATTCAATATCAAAATTATCAATTTTGGTCTCATTCAAAAAATATTATCAATTTTGGTCTCACTCAAATGAAAATTTATCAATTTTAGTTCCAAAATAGTTGACTGGGACTGAATACGGCCGTATTGGCTTGAACACGGCCGTGTTCCTGCCTGTGTTCAGAACACAGCCATGTTCCTGCCAATGTTCTCAAAACAGCCATGTTCCTGCCTATTTTCTCAACACAACCATGTTCTAGGCCATGTTCACGACCATGTTTTCAATATAATCATATTGTAGGTCATATTTATTATTATTTTCACTTTTTGATTAAAATGATTTAATATATATATTTATAATTCAACAAAAATATTTTTTGCAATTATTTCATAATATAAAAAATATCAATTTTTAATATTTTTTTAAAATATAAAAATAATAATATATTAATATATATAATCATCATTATATATATTTTTAAAAATTTATAGTAAAAATTTTAAAATATTATTTTAAATTAATTATTTCTATAAATTATAAATTAAATTTATTATTCAGAAAATAATATTTTAAAATAATATTTCCTCCGTCCCACGTTGGATGTCTGGGTCACTGTAGATACGAGAATTTAGAATAAGTATAATTAGTAGATAATTAAGAATGTATTAGTAAAACTAATTATCATATAATATAAATAATTATAAATTAATTAAGATAACTCATTAGTTTAATTAAAATTTAAAAAAAATAAATTAAAAAATAATGTGTAATTATTTTCCAAAAAAAGAAAAGTGACATAGGATGTGGGACAAATATAAACGGCAATATAGACATGTTAAGTGGGACGGATGGAGTATTATTAAAAAATATATATTAATATATTACTATTTTTATATATTTTAAAAATATTAAAAATTGATATTTTTTATATTATGAAATAATTGCAAAAAATATTTTTGTTGAATTATAAATATATATATCAAATCATTTTAACCAAAAAGTGAAAATAATAATAAATATGGCTTACAATATGATTATATTGAAAACATGGTCGTGAACATGGCCTAGAACATGGCTGTGTTGAGAACATGGACATGAACATGACCTAGAACATGGCTGTATTGAGAACATGGGCAGGATCATGACTGTGTTCAGAACACGGACAGGAACACGGCCATGTTCATAAGTGCAGGTAATGGGACGCCCAGTTACCTTCTGAGTAATCCAACACGGCCGTGTTCAGTCCCAGTCAACTATTTTGGGACTAAAATTGATAAATTTTCATTTGAGTGAGACCAAAATTGATAATATTTTTTGAATGAGACCAAAATTGATTGAATAGGACCAAAAATGATTTTTACTCTAGATTTTAATATAATACTATGAAAAAAAAAAGTGTTTAATTGAATATCTATGGGAGGGAAAAAATTGATAAATAATAAAATTGTAGGCAAAATCTTCCAAAAAAACATACGCGATTGAATTTTTTATATTGAAAGCAAAATTGATACATTTTAATTATATTGAGATTAATATTGATTTTTTCTATTTTTATTATATCAGTTATTCCAAATTCAATATATATATATATATTTTTTAAAATAAAACATAACAAGAAAGGTAAAATTTTAGATAAAAAAAAAATACATGGTCGTGTATAATTGTACGTGGCCGTGTGACAACATGGTTGTGTTGTTTCCAGATCAGCTGCTACGTCAATGCTGTTACGTCTATATCAGCAATTTCCGTTAGGTTTTTAACGATGAGACCAAAATTTATTAAAATAGTTTATATTGAGACTAAAACTGATTATTTTATTTTATTTTATTTATTTTTTTATATTGGGACAAAATTGATTAATTTTGGTTATATTAGGACTAAAATTAATTTTTTTCCCAGATTTTTATGTAAGATATAAAAAATGGTATAAATAATATAAAAATAATAAATATGTAATATATTATTTTTTTTTGAAAAAATGTTTACAATTTTTTGGCAAAAAAAAAAAAATTACACTTTGTCTCCAAAAATTTATAGATTGAAAGATCATTTATTTATTTATTTTTTTAAAAAGACTATTTAATACTCTCTTTGTCCCAATACAATAATATTATTTACAATTTTTGTTTGTCCAAAAATAATAGTCTTATTTCTA